TTTTTAACCCCTTGCTGGGAGAAGACATAGAGCAGAGACCACAAGGGGTAAAGGAGAGTCTCACTTAAACTATTTTGCAATTAGATCTCAAAGAAATTTTTAAATTTCTTTCTACCTTTTTGGATATGAAAGTACTAATCCTTTCAGCAAGGCTATTTACATCTATGTTTTGGACTTAATACTTAGTTTTATGGTAAGATATGAAAGAGAAGTTTTCTAAGGGGGCATCAAAGGACTAGAGGAGGAAAATTGTGGTGCACTTGGGGAAAACAATAAAATCTTTTTGGACCCTGTGAGCATCTGACCTGAATTTTAGGACTAAACTTCCAAGTACTAATGTTAAAATGAGGATTATATATGTGTATATATATATATATATATACACACACATTTTTTCCTGTTCATTTTGCCTAAGGCACTTGGCCTAAAGGCCATGATGCTAAGCTACTGAAAGTAACTAAATAAGAAAGTAGGTCAGTACTTTGGGAGATTACATATATACACACACACTTAAATACACACACATGTACACATATACATTACACATAATGTTTTAGGTCAATTCTCTTCACACAGAGAGAGCTAATTGTTGAATGTGACGCTGATGAAACCACTTTTCTACAAAATGCTGGCAGGATAACTTACAGTATTTCTAGGGTCTCTGGTAATTCATGGAGGGAATGGAGAGTAGCAAAAGAGAAACAATAAAATGAATAGTCTGCCATTTACTGTGTTACTAGACCTTCTAGACAAGAAGGAGCCTCATCTGTGCTCGCAGAGATAGCACAATAATTCTTCACAACGCTAAATCCATCCCATCAAAAGTAGCCACAGAACAAATTAACTCCCGACATCCAACTGCCCTCCTGATGTCACTAGATTCCACACTTCCTTGTCATCACATTCCACATTCTGCTCTGTTGCTAGGTACCTTGGGCACCCTTATTTTCCAAAGCTCCAGGTGCTGTTTTCCTTGGGACTCAAATGCAGAGTCTTTGGTTCAAATGCTATGATACCCAGGCTGAAACCTTGAGAGAAGAACCATCGCCCTGGCCCAGTGAACCTGAAGGCCATACCCACAGATCTTAATACTGCACCCTCTGTGTAGCAGCTACTCAGGATGGAGCAAACTATGTTAGGTAAGGAAGCAGATTACCCCTTTAAAGTGGTAACCTGATGTGAATTGGTTACAGGAGTCTGAGGTCTGCGATTTTAAATTCTTAAAAAGTATCTTTTAGGGAGAGAGGGAAAGAGAATAAAAACTGTTAACATGATTACATGAAACTCAACAATATAAAATTCTTAATTTATACTCAGTTTAATATCTGCTTACTATTCTATATGGTATTTTTAAAATAAAGACATCAAAACTTTGTTTTAAATTTGGATTTATAGGACAGTGTTATGAGACATTATTGTTTTTTACCATTTAAATTACAAAATATGTAAGTATGTATATTTGATACAAATGAGTAAATCATGTATTTGTTTTTCTTAAAACATACTGATTTACTCAGGAATGAAATATGTAATGCTGTTGAATTTAGTTACCTTGGTAACATCTGGAGTGAACTACTCCATCTAAAAATATTTTCTACCTTATTGTTTATATTTTTTATTGAAACAAAAACATGGCACTTATTAAAGCCTTTCCTGACAAATAATAATGTTTACTTTACCTGAAAAATAAACGAATGATATACCACTTATTAGATATACATAATGATTTCAGATTGAAGAAAGAGTTGTAGGATGTTTAATTTTTAACCAAGATAGATATTGGATTTGTCTTATGCTAATGTAGATTTTATTTTAAAATGTAATATATACTTAGGGTTATTTAACCTAATGACGTATTGACAAAGCTTTCATACATTAAATGTTACTATATTTTTTAAAGGTTTCTAGAACACAAATGTTAAATCACTTTTTTCATGAAATGAAAATTGCAGTTGAATATATTCATTGTGCTCTTCTTTGGACTTTCATGGGAAATAATAAAGTAATCAAAAATTATCTTCATAATTTAGCATAAGAATTTGAATTGGCGTAAAAAGAACATGCACACATCTATCTGAATTACTTATATAAGTCATCCCCTTAATTCTGCATTTCAAAAACCCTAGACATTTCATGTTAAAATAATATTTTGAATCCTTGGATTAATACCTATGGAAAGTACCATGTAATAAAAAATGTCATATTATTTATGGCCAGTTTCCCAAATTTTCCTATGTATTTTTTCTTTCCACAACAATTCTTTCTTTGATGGGTACATAAAAAGAGTAAGTTAATAGAATTTTGCCATTTGAACGTATTTTAACATTTTTCACAGGATAGTCTTAGAAAACTGTTTAAAGATATTATTTCAGGCTGGGTGTGAAATAATAATTCAGTCCAGGCGTAATTTGTAATCAAAAAATATTATTTCATTATGAATTAAACCTAATGGGCTTTGTTTATTTTATTTTATTTTATTTTATTTGAGACGCAGTATCGCTCTTGTTGCCCAGGCTGGAGGGTAATGGCGTGATCTCAGCTCACTGCAACTTCTGCCTCCCAGGTTCAAGCAATTCTCCTGCCTCAGCCTCCCGAGTAGCTGAGATTACAGACACATGCCACCATGCCCGGTGAATTTTTGTATTTTTAGTAGAGACAGGGATTTCACCACGTTAGCCAGTCTGGTCTTGAACTCCTGACGTCAGGTGATTCACCCACCTTGGCTTCCCAAAGTGCTGGGATTACAGGCATGAGCCACCATGCCCAGCCTGTTTTTTTTAATTTTTTACTACAGACGTGGCTTCATCCTAGACTCTTGCCTATTCCATTACTACTAGTCATACCAGTTCTGTTCTCACAATTTTTCTAGTTGTCTCTTTTTCTGCACCGCCACTGCTTCAGAAGTTTGAGCTTTTAAAGATGCCAACTTAGATGACTTCTACATCTCTTAATTGGTCTCCCCAACTTCCATTTTGCCCCTTCATACCATTCTCCTCATCAGAGTCAGAATAGGCTACTTGAAATATAACTTTTTCCATGTCACTTCTCACAATAAATTAAAACTGTTATTTGCTCTTAGAATAAAATCCAAGTTCTTTGATAAACAAAATGCTTTTCTTGGTATACTCTTTTTTCCTTTCTAGGTTTATCTTTTCTCTTTCTCTTTTCTTGCACTCCAGACTACTCTTACTTCTCACTTGCCCTGCATATGCTGACCTCTGTGACTTTGCATGTGCTGATCCCTCTATAGAGAATGCTCTTCCCCAACTTCTCCACCTGGTTAAGGCTCACTCACCTTTCGGAATTCAACTCATATCCCCTTCTTTAGGAAGCCTTCTATGATGTCTTTATCCCTTGTATTAGACCACAGCCTTCTTGCTCTACATTTTAATGGCATGTTTGTTTTTCTGTCTCTCTTAATTATCTGTGAACTTGTTGAAGGCGGAGTCTCTACAGGCCAAAAACTTAACCCCATATTGGTCAGAGTAAGCACTTAACAAATGTTAGTGAATAAATGAGTGAACCTGTGAGTTATATTACTCTTTCAGAATTTGAATATAATTCCCATGAATGTAATTGATCAGAAAGCATTAACTATTTCATTACACCCCTCCAAAAAGCATACTTGATAATATTCAGAAAATTAAAAATCACAAGTATTGAATAATATTTCTTTTGCTCACCCATATTTATATGATTTCACTAATAGCTTTTAACTAAAGGAAACATTTTAATACCTTTTCCATCACAATTTTTAAAAATCAGTAGCAAATTGTTATATAAGATAAAAGTAATTAAGAAAAATAGAATGTTATTTCATGTAATGTTTATGTATTTTCTTTTTACAAAATTGGGATCGTACCAATCACACTCTTTTGTAGCTAGATTTTTCTATTTAGTACTTCATGACTCACATCCCTGTATCTTAAAATAGAATATTTAATAATTACATAGTATTCTAACAATTTCAACATTTATTTAAATAATCTATTTGTGGTAATTTAGGTCATTTCTAATTTTTTGCCATTATGAACAACACTGGTATGAATGTTTACCTACAAAAAGATACACACACTGATTAAACTTCTTAGGTGTTAAACTCCCAGAAGTGTAATGAGTGGAACAAAGTTTATGAGCACTTTTAATGCTTTAGATGCATATTAAACACTCATTCAGCTTTTACTGATGCACATTCTCACCAGTAGGATAAATGATGTTTTTTATCAGAGAATGTTTACCAAATCTAGATATTCTCTCTGGAAAAACAAAAGCTATTTGCAAAATAATTGGTAGTTATTTAATTCTCTTTGTTTTTTTTTTTTTTTTTCCTTTGAGATTGCATTTGAGATTAAATTGTTCTCTCAATTCTGTTTTCTTCTTATTATTTTATTTCACTTCTTGTGCCTAAATGTGCTGTGTTAGCCCATTTGCATTGCTATAAAGGAATACTTGAGACTGGGTAATTTGTAAAGAAAAAAGGATTATTTGGCTTACAGCCCTGCAGTCTGTACATGAAGCATAGTGCCAGCATCTACTTCTGGTGAGGGCTTCTGGAAGCTTACAATCATGGAGGAAGATGAAGGGGAGCCAGTTTGTCTCATGGTGACAGAGGGAGCAAGAGAGAGAGAGAAGAGGTGCTAGCTCTTTTAAACAACTGTCTTTCCTATGAACTCCCAGAGCAAGAACTCATTACCATGGTAATGGCACAAAGCCATTCATGAAAAATTCACCCTCATGACCCAAACACCTGCCGCTAGACCCCACTATGGACACTGGAGGTCACATTTTAATGTGAGATTTAGAGAGGACAAAACATTCAAACCTTATGTGCCTACTAGATTAAAAACAACAATAACTGTTTACAAGCTTATTGCTGAGGATGAATTACATATTATATGTAAAATGCCATCCACATAATGGGAGCTCAATAAATGCTAGTTGAAGTAGAATCTGAATAGCATATTAATTAAAATCAAAATATAACTTTTCCTTTTCAACAGATGATTCTGCTGCAGAGAGCTTTAATGGCAATGAGACTCTGGGGCAGAGTTCAATTGCTTCAGGGGGAACACACAGCAGGGAGATGGGAGACTCCAACAGTGATGGCAAAACTGGGCTGGAGCAAGATGAACAGCCACTGAACCTGAGTGACAGTCCCCTGTCTGCGCAGCTAACTTCGGAATACAGAATAGATGATCACAACAGTAATGGGAAAAACAAATATAAGAACCTTCTAATTTCTGATCTCAAGATGGAACGAGAGGCGAGAGAAAATGGAAGCAAGGTATGGTCACATTACAATTTCCAGAATTTTTGAGTCGGTCATGAAGGTCACAGAAAATACTTATGCATATAGGAGATAAACATTATTGTTAATAAAAATATTATAAACAAATCCAATAAGAGAATACCAAGAAACTTATGACCAAGCATATTGTGTGTTTATAACGTATGATTTCAGGAATAATAGTGAGCAAAATGAATCATGTCTCAAAGCTGTGGGTGTTTTTTGATGTGGAGAATCACTTGAGTTAATGTTTCTCACATATATAATCTATTTGTATGAATCTCTCTGGGAATTTGTTCAGCTCAGATGTGACAGTTTCAGTCTCAGTACACAATTTTTTACCATAAAAGGATCACTATCTAGTTTCTCCTAGATGGATAGGTGTACATAAAGATAAAGTTTCAATTAAATTCTTCAGTTTGCTTTAGAGACCTGGGGACTTTGATGAGTAATTTTCTTTGTGGACACTAAAGAACTGTAAAGTGTGAGGGTCCTGGATGAAGTTTGTGGGTTAAATAATTATTTTAAGAAATGATTTACCATAAGTTATATCATACAAAAGACAAAAACATATTTCAGACATATCTAAATGTTTAGATTCTTTATATTAATATTAGAATAAATTACAATCCTCTCCCATTCCCAGCTGACTTTTTTTTAAATTAAGCTTAAACTTCTGCTAGTTTGAGATAACACATGCTGGTGACTTTGCTGTATGATTTTTGAAGGTGTACTTTGGAACACATGAGGGTTTTTATGGAAAATACCTTTTGAGTGCCTTCCCCAGCCCTTACCTCTAAGTCAGAGTTGTAGAACTTGTTTTTTGACATAGATCCTTAAAGCAAAATGTCTTAATCTGGATTAATTTCTGAATTTGCTAAGGCACTATGCTTCCTAAATTGGTTCTATTTAAATCTTCTTGCTTGCCTGGGGGTGTGTTGTTTTATCCTCTTTTAAGCAAGTCACTAGACATTAGCAGACACTTAAGCACTCCTGCCTGAGGGAGGCTGCTACAACTTTTTCTGTGGCAAATGTTCAAATATCTTCCTCAGTGGTTTAAAGCCAAATTACATAAACGCAAATGATTTTATATTTACTAACATGATCTGATTCACTGTGCACTGTGTTACATTTTACAGAACAAAATAACTCCTAAGTTTCCCTGCCCTCCACATAAACCTGTCTTTATGAAGTTTAAATAATCGTGAAATGTCCTTTCTATGCTATGTGTCTATTAAATTTTTTTCTAAAATTATTGGATGGTTTGCTTTTCTTTTTCTTATTCTCTTATTCAGTATTACTCTGGGAACGATGCTTATTAAAACATATTCTTGCACATATTAAACAGAATGAAGTGACCTTTCTATCTCTATTACAATGGAGTTGAGAAGCACAGATGGTTTGGGCTGCTCATGAGAGTTAAGATGATAAACAAGCCTAGAGGAGAAGAAGATACCCTGATGCACTTAATATTTTATGGTTTAGTAAATGAAGAATACTTCCCACAGCCAACTGAGGAATAGCCAAAGACGCAGTAGAAAAATCAGAAGGGTGTAATGTATGAAAGCTAAGCAAAGTCCACCTTTCAAGGAGAGTGTAGGCAGCTCCCATGGACAATGTCGAGAAAGCAAATAAGATGAAGATAGAAAATAGTTAAATTTGTGAGAGAAGTTTTGATTGGGAGCACATTGGGAAAAGAATCAAGAGATTATGTTTATTATTTTCTTCAAAAATAGCGTAGTAAATACTTATCACCTATGAAGGACGAATACATCTAGAGATATAATAAACAGCAGGAGAACTAGAGTTAATAATATCATATCATCTATTGAAAGTTTGCTAAAAGTACATTTTAGATGTTCTCACCACATGGAAGTGATGGCTATGTTAAGTTGCTTACCTGGAGTAATCATTTAACTATGGACAGGTATATCAAAACATCATGTTGTACATCTTAAATTTATGCAATTAAAAATACTTGGCATACTTGCAGCAATGGAGTGGGTAGCAGAGACAACTCACAGAAATAAAAGTCTTTATTCACAAGGCTCTTGATACATAATTTTGAGAAAGAGGATACATATACATAGAAAAGTTTCTTAGAACAAGCACAGGCAATACTTATTCTCATATTAAAATAGTAAGAGTTTAAGTATGAAAATACTATTTCAAGTAATAGTCAAAATAGACCTCCTAGAGGAACTGAGCCTTGAACTTTGAAGGCAATACAAGATTACCATTTTATTTCTTTCAGAAGGGGTCTCTTGCTAGACACTGTGAAGGGCCTGGAATGCAGATAGGGAAGATGACTTATTCTCAGGCTAGGGAATCATTGTCCATTCTGACCTCAGTATGATTTTATCACTTCCTCGTGGCATTGAGGAAGAACATGACATCCTTACGCAGGATACACTAGTTGCCACCAATTAATTTATTCTCTAAATATTTACTAAAGGATTCCTACATGCAAGTCACTGTTGTAGGAAGCAAAAATATGTAAATGAGAAGAGTAAGATTCCTGCTGTTTAAAAGCTCATAGTCTAGCAGGGGGGACAAACTTGTGGTTACAGTCTCATTCTGTAAGTGATATGAGGGACGTATGGTCAGGAGGGTGAAATGAAAGAACAGAGGAAGGGTGCCAAGGGACTATAATGATTCTTAAGGAAAACTCTAAAGAGAGATTGATGTCAGAGGTGAGTGTGGAATGGCAAATAGGAGTTATTCTGATTATGTATGGGAGAGGGGTAAGCATGTTTTAAGGCACAGAGCTGTGAGCGAGCATACCTGGCATGGGTATTTGCAAGGAGCTTAGCATGGCTGCAGCAGAGAACATGTGTGAAGTGATGAAGTATAAAGCGGCTCCACCAATAAATGTAGGCCATTTTAAGGACTTTGGATTGTCTACTAGAAAGAGCTTAGTGGTCAGCTTAGAATTTTAGAAAGCTCATGATCAGCTTGAAATTTTATAAAAATTATTCTGGCAATGTTTTGGTGAATGAATAGGATAGGGAAGAGAAAAAAGTAATGAGAGAATGCTGGTTAGAGAGCTATTGTGGCAATCCAAGAGGAAAATACTGACAGTTGGAATCAAATAACTGACAATGAGAAGGTAAAGCAGATATGTAGTACAAAAAATTACTGAACATGTTATTTTTGTTCTTTTGACATTGTATTTGCAGGACTAACTATCTAACCTCCATAGGTTGTATTCATATACTGCCAAACTCCTGGGAGTGCCATTCACATAGCCTGCAATATGAGCATCATATTTACCTTTCTATATCTCATTAGTGTGAACATTCTGTGAATATAAAAATGATGTTTACCTTGTCCTCTGCAGTATGCCTCACACCTGGCTTACTATCTTGTCCATAGATGTTTCTCAATACTTTGAGAAAATATACAAAGGTTTTTTGAATGTGGAAAGCAAAGTATAGAGGAACATTCTAGAATGACTCCAAGATTTTTGGCTTTCTTGCCTAAGTGGATGATGAATCCATTTACTAAGATCCAGAATGAGAAACATTTGAAGAAGCAGGTTTCCACATGTAAAGTGTACGATGCACATGCAGTGTCCATTGGACATATTTAGTAGGCATTCTGGGGACATATGTCAGCTCTGAAGAAAGGTACAGGATGGAGAGAGAGACGTTTTAAAGATTTCAGAACAAAAGTGGTGCTTGAAGCTGTGGTGGTTGATAAGATCACCTTGGGAGAGCATAGAATGAGGAGAGAGTCGAAATATGTCATCTTGCAGAATATCAACCCGTTAGGAACAAGTGATATAAAAGGAATTTGTAGAGAAACAAATACTCAAGGAGAAAATGAAAGCAACTGGATAAGAAGGGGATGTTTTAGAAGGCAAAATATGGAGCGTTTCAACATTGATATAAATTATTAAACTAAGCAATCCTTAGATGAAGTGACATAGGCCTGAACCTGAACATTGCTTAGGAGAGTTAGTGCTCAGAGGTGGATTCAAAACACATGGCAGAAGAAACACTAACAGAATTAGCGGGCAATTTGATTGAAGACAGTTATAGAGGCTGAGATAGGAAAGTGGAATCATTTGAATTGCGAAGGAGAGTGTGTCTGGAATTTCTCTTTAGAGATTCTTCCTGCAATCTTAATCCAAATGTAGAGTGCTCTAGGGTTCCTGCATCTGGATCAATACTTGCTTTACCCCAAGGCGATGAAGTGAACTTCATAATAAAGTTCTGTTCAATCTGTGCGATCTTTTGTAGTCCTCAGGATCGTTCCATCACTTCTGTGTGACCTTTTGAAGTGACACTACTATACATTTCTTCTTCCTTTGAGGGCTATAAAAGCTTAATTATATAGAATATGTGAAAAGCTTAGATTCCAGTGAGTTTAATGTTGACCTATTTCACAATTATACTGTGAATAAAATCGAACAAAAATGATTATAAAGCATTGAAAAATTGAACAGTGAATAGAAGTGCTTAAAACGAATAGTTGAGTTGGACAATGTCATTTACTGATTACTTATTATTATGCAAATTCACTCACTAGACTAGCAGGGAATTACATTAACCAATCTAAGGACTAAATATATTGCACTGAATGAAGTTAGGTGATATTTATTTTCTACTTGCTGTTGGCCGCATTTTAAAAGGACAACTAATAATATTAGAGCTCGATAGAGAGTTGAAATGATGATAAAGAGCTTGGAAAATGAGACCCACGAGGAAGTGTTAAGGGATTAGCTATATAGAAAATGAAAGGCCAATCAAACACCAATCTAGGTATAGATATTTTAAATTATTAATCAATGAGAATAGACAGACAACTGGAATTCTAATGGCAGTGAATACTTAAAAACACTGTATTATTGGTTTTTTAATTTTTTGTTTTCTATTTATCTTTTAGTATTTATAACCCAGCTGCATTTTACTTTATATGGTTAAATATTCTGAAGCAATTTCCCCAAAGAATGTTTCCAATAAGGACTGCGGTGGGCAAGTGATTATTGTTGA